ATTTTTTAAAAAAAAAAGTAATGTATTTCAGAACTAAGCAGTGCTATATTGTATGCAACTCCATCAATGTATATGTCACAACAATAGGATTTTTTTTTCCCATACTCATGGATTAATCATTTTCTCCTTAATTTTTATTCTAAAAATTCGTTTGTTATATATTCCTGTCCAATAATCTGTAAAGGATTAAGGACATATATCAAGACACCATTATAGTTAATAATAAGAAATATCAAAAGCAGTTTGCAATATACGAATAGTTAATTTTGTCTATGCTTAATTGGTCAAAAAATATTTCTAATATGAATTTATTTTAATGTATGATTTAATCATTGAATGCAATGGTTCAAAGGTTTTATTTTCTCTGAAATCTTCCAGTGACAGTTCGTTTTATTTAGTCTACAAAAGGATGAAAATTCGATTTCCGATTATGGCGATGTTTAAAAAAAAAAAAGTGTAGAAATAATAAAGATTGTGTCACAGACAACATTTTATGGGATTTTGTTTCCCTGTCAATAAATACAGAAAAATTATTTCACAATATTAAAATTAGCAGAAAGTGCAAGAAAAAAATCGGAAAGTGCAAGAAACCAAGCCCTTCCTGTGAAAGAACCGAATAAACATCAGAGGAAGCCGACAAATTCAAAAAACCTTATACGAGTTGCCGTATACATACGAGAGATCGTATTTATATAGTGGAAGTATTTTATATCTCTTGGTTAATCAATTGCTGCGGGAAGCTTCTTTTTCAAAATATTAAATTGAAAAATCATGAATGAATGTCTTGTCTGAAGTATCATTAAGAAAAAACGGAAGGCTCCATTTCCGTTAACTCAGCGATTTCGCAGCTGTAAAAACAACAGCGCGCGGAACAATGCAGCAATCGCGTTATCATCTCAACGAAGTCCTACAAAAGCACATGACAAGATGAACTCTACAAAGCAGTGAAGCCGTCTTAAGCTTATTACAGAAAAAACGAAGCTACTTTAATATTATCGTATACATTTGGTAATTTTGACACTTAAATTATTTTACTATATTCTTTCAAAAAAATTAGTTTAATGAATAAAATCAATCTTTCAGAAATTTCTGTAACGCTATTATTTACATAAAGAACCAAACAGGATACTTCCTTCTGGAGAGACGCTTAAATCTGTTGTAGCATAATTGCATCATAATTATATTATGCAGTTATGCTAAAATCATTGTTTACACGCTTAAATCAATCAATCATTGTTTACACGCTTAAATCAATCAATCATTGCTTACACACTTACTTCCTTCTGGGGAGATGCTTAAATCTGTTGTAGCATAATTGCATAATAATTGTATTATGCAGTTATTTTACAACCATTGCTTACATCAATCAATCATTACTTACACGCTTACTTCCTTCTGGGGGAGATGCTTATGCTACAATCATTGCTTACGCTCTTAAATTATTGAGCACAACTGCAACAAGCATAACTGTTGCAATAAGCAGCAAAATTACCTCATGTCACAATGGTCGACATTTGTTTTGCGGAATCTCGGACATTCTGGTTCAAAATTCATTATTAGATATTTCTGGTTTGGTTTAAAATACAGATCGCACAGTTGAAGAGATATTGACAATCAGGAAACTGTTGATACAATATTCCCGACACGCGCTATGAATAAGAGATGCAAGTGCTTACCATGGCGATGACAGCGGGCGCTGGTGTCAAGTGTGACACCTGGATCATGGCCAGGATGCGGGGCATTTGTCCTTGCTCGGCACCAGCATAAAACAGCCTGAAATACAAAGTCAATTTTCAAGACTGGTTTATGGACATTATCAATACATATCATCAAGACTCAATTATATGTTTTTAAACTTTCTGACAAAAAAAAAAAAAAAAAAAAAAAAAAAATTCCCCAAAATTTGAAATCGACATTTTCATAAAATTAAGTCTCGGCGTTATTTTTTTTTTTTTTTTTTTTTTAAATAATTATTTGCAATAAACACAGATTGATTTATTAAGAACATGCATCTCCAGTACACATGAAGCTAACTTGAAAATAATGTTTTTAATTAATGCGAAAGAATTCTAAGATTTATTTTTGTTATGCAATACTTGTAATCTTGTATATGCAATACCGATTTTCCAGTGGGCAATGTAACTTGCTGACAGTTTCTTCATCACTAGAATCAAATTCCTCGGGTAAAATTTAATATATATATGAGAAAAATGGGCGAAGATTCTCAAGAAACACATGATGAAACAAAAACAAAAATATTTTTTTGTCAAAAAAAAATATAATATTTTTAAAGAAAGTTATTTCAATTCTGCTTGTGTTCACATTGACTCACGTTACACCTAATATCTTTACAATTAATAAGAACTATAGTAATAATGTTTAATTTAGAAAAGATTGCTGAAAATTCTTTTTCCCAAGTTAATAAATTACGTTTAGTAAGACGTTTCCCAAATTATAAATTAGATCAAAAAATATTCAGAAATTACAATTATGATTCAAAGTCACAGAAACTAAATATTTCTAATAATTAGAAACTGGCATTTTTATTCATTTAAAGAAATTAAATTAACAATAAATGAAGATATAATTTAAGTTTGTTACAATCAAAAGTGAAATATAAACACCCATAATGATTGGTTTATTTAAATTGTTAAAACTAACAAAAATATCAAACAAAGAAAAATTTCAATAATATAATAATTATTATGATTTAGAAACAATATTAAATTTTGAAAAACCTATTTCATAAAAATTTACATTAACTGATGTTGCATTTAACTAGAGCTATAAGTTTTATATAACATTCTAGTATGGAGTGACTAAAGTTCGTAAAAGAAATATAATTATAAATGAATAGCGCTTAAAAGCAATACAATACAGAAACTGCAGATTTTGAAAGCAGCATTGAAATAAAAGAAGACCAACCTGGATGAAGTGAAGAGAATTCCGTTGACTCCTCCGTACGTTGACATGGCCACAAACACTGGCATAATCCATGCCATGCTGCCGTACAGACTGTCCGCAAACGTCTGAAACAATACGTATTGAAAACGTCATCACACAAATTTTTATCAATAAATTTTCCTTAGAATAAAATGGTCAATAAAATTGAAAGGGTTCATGATCTAAACAAAGATGTGCAAGCATTGTATTGCGCTCACATTAAAATATATTGTTGAATAATGAAATTTCTAAATTCCTTACTTTTAAAAAAATGCTGGTGCTTACTTTTTTAGAAAACCCTGTGCTTACTTTTAAAAACCTCGTGCTTACTTTTTAAAAACCTCGTGCTTACTTTTTAAAAACCTCCTTTAAAAAAAAACCCGCGTTTACTTTTAAAAATCCTCCTTGTTTACTTTTTCAGAAAACCCAATGTTTACTTTTCAGAAAACCCACGTGTTTACTTTCAGACCCCTATTGTTTACCTTTTAGACACCCCATTGTTTACCTTTTAGACACCGCACGTGCTTAACTTTTTTAAACCCCACGTGCTTAATTTTTAAACCCCAGGTGCTTAATTTTTTAAACCCCACGTGCTTAATTTTTTATAAACCCCACGTGTTTAACTTTTTTCGAAATCCACGGGTTTTATTTTTTTCGAAACCTCCGGGTTTATTTTTTAAGAAAAGCTTCGGGGTTTATTTATTTATTTATTTTTTTCGAAACCTCAGGGGTTTATTTTTTTTAGAAACCCCGTGTTTATATTTTCAGAAACCCGTGTATATTTTAAATACCGTATTGCACGTGTGCACTCACCACAGCTACTGCTTCCGCCCCCAGAACCTCTGCTACAGACAGGGTGGTGTGGAAGGCCACCACAGTGAAGGTGTACACCACGGTCACCAGGATGCATGAGATGAAGATGGCTCTCGGAGGTTGCTGGAAGGAAGAGGGACAGAAAAGATTAGATGACAATTTTTCATCATTTGGTTCCAAAAAGAAAAAGCAAAAAAAATGGCAATACTTACACAGTAGGGATTCTTCAGTTCCTCAATCACGAAATTCAGGTAATTCCTGAAACAAAGGAGATATCTGAATTAGAACCAAAAGAAATCTTGAATTAAATAGAACTCCATACAACTGTGTCCAAAGAACAATTTTCAATTTAAAATTCCATGGAATTTCGGTTTTTTTTTTTTTTTTTTTTTTTTTTTTTTAAGGTTGTTATGGAATCTGTGGTTTCGTCAAAATATTCATGAGACGCTAAACCCTAAAAGTGATTCCGGCGATTTTCGAAATGTCTGAATTCATTGTGCAAAGAACTTGCGTTCAATTTTGTTTGCGGAAACGTATAGAATGGTGCAGAAGGCATTCGGTGAGTATTCCTATATTGAAAAAAGAAATGTTTAGAAGTGGCATAAACAGTTCAAAGGAGGCAGAGAATACGTTGAAGCGAAGAGCCCTTTTGTCGCCATCAACCTCAACCGAAAAAAGATTTTTAATCACTATTAGATCATTAAAAATTAATTATATCGTAACAAAAATTATTACCTTTCAAATTAATTATTATCTTTAATTCTTAATAAGAAATTACCTCTAATAATTAACATTGGAGCCTAAAATTAATTATCTTTAGATTATAAAAAAAAAAAAAACTTTAAAAGCCAATTATCTTTAGATCATAAAAAGATTACATTTAAAAGTAAATTATCTTGAGATAATATAAATTGACTGAGGTAATAAATGGAGATCATAATTATCTTTCGATCTGTAAAGTGATTTTTTTTTTTATTAAAAATCACATTAAATATAGATCTATAAAGCGATACGTGTAATTAAATGTTTAATTGAGTCATCGTATGATGAAAACAGATTAACACAAAGCAATTTTTCAGGGTCAGTTTGATAACAGAGAAAAAAAGTAATATGCAAAATAACGATAAGGGAAAGTATTTACAATTTTAAGCTACTTTGTCTGGACGGCAGTCTTTAAATTTTATGCGATTTCAAAGTTTTTGACAGCCAAGTGGATAGCTTGTTGTGTTTCCTAAATGCCTGCCAACGGCCATACCATGCTGAATATACCGGTTCTCCGGTTCTGGTTAGATCACCGAAGTCAAGCATCATTGGGCCGGGTCAGTACATGGGTGGGTGACCACCTGGGAACACCGCGTGCCGTTGGCATTCACAAATTTGGGATCTGAATGGCCGAGTGTCTGGAGCTTGGTGGCACAGGTTTCGGGTTCGAATCCCGGCGGTGCTATGGATGTTTGTAGTGGTTCAGAATCCACTTTAAGCCGTAGGTCCCGGTCTCCTATGACTGTAAGGGGCGTCACGGAGCCAAAGTCAGGCTTCTACCTACGGGTGCTCCATCACAACAGAAGCTTTTCTTCCTCTTCAATCATGAGTACGTATGGGCTCGTGGGCTTGGCAAGCCAAGTGGGATAAGAAACAACAACAACAACCTAAATGCCTGACTAACATTGAATCTACTACATATCTGCCACCGTTCTAATAGCGAATGACTTATTAGATTTAACTTATTTGGTTTGTCAGTGACTTATTAAATGACGTATTTAGTTTGTCTCTGTACTGTCCTTTCGTGCACACTTTTAGGCTAATTAGACCGGATCTACAATTTAATGTGGATTCGAACCATTCGCAAACATCCATGCCACCGCCACGATTCGAACTTATGGTTCCAAAGGTCAGAGCGTAAGCTAATTGGAGCGAATGATTTAGGTCTTAGCACCCAACATTACAAAATAACAAATATACTACGAATAAATACCCTGTGTGTATGTTTAAACCAATGATAACCTAACTTAATAAAATAATTATTATTATTATGTAATATTTCCAAAACCTTTTCACAAACACTCAATACCTTTTGGTTTTTGCTGTAATTTTTTTTTTTTTTTTTTTTTTTTTTTTAAGAAACTCTTTCGAGTTAGATTACTTTATCTGGCCTACATATAACCCATTTATTTTATTTACTGTATCAGCAAGAAGATTATAGACATTAGTAACATAGGGGAAAAATGCATTAAAAGTATGAATCTCTTCTAAAAAACCTGATCTTCTAGTAAGATTAGAAGAAGAAACTGGTTTATATTAAATTATCTTCTTGAAACTCAGGTTTCAGGAAACTAATACAACTTTAGCTCTCAGAAATAATTTATTTTTTATTTATATATATTTTTTTATTTATTTATTATTTTTATTTTATTTTTTTTAATGCAGCTGGCAAACACTTAGACAGTTGTCTTGGACGCCTTAAGGCAAGCGCTGCACCGATGTTACTCCCCAGGAGGTGCATGTAGCTTGAAGATAAGCTATGGATGCGGAGTAACAATACCGCTCTACGATCATGTTAAATCGGGACCTATGGTAAAAAATGGATTCGAACCACTGCAAACATCCATGGCAATGTCTGGACGCGAAGCCGAACAGAAAGAAAATATAAAATAATATGAATATTCATTCATTTATGGCATGTCTGTTATAATGCGCATTGTGTATTAAATTATTAATAGTACATGTTATAAATATACAAACTAAAAACATGTATTATCTATATTTACAAAGCAAGATGTTTGTTGTACTTAAAAGTTAAGAATAATTAATGTAAATAAGGTAACAATTATAAGTTCATTTTTTTTTTCAGAATACATTCATTTTTCATCCAGAGCAGAGCCAAAAATTAGAAAAATATTAATAGTAATTTTTTAATTAAATTAAAAATGTTTAATTAAAATTATTATTGCTTATTTACACTTTAAGATTATTTAGTTCAAAAGTCGTCTGCAAATGAACTTATGAATGGAAATGACGCCACGGTTCTTTGAGCGTTCCAGTACACTTTAATGATTCATAATTTCTATTTAACATATTTTTGTATTATTTTATATTTTTCGTTAATAAATAATTCATAAACACTTGATTGAACAAAAATTATGAATAGTATCAAAAAATTCTCTGGAAATTAAAATAACTAAGCTTTGTAGTTTTTGTGGCTGTTTTTTATTATTATTACCGTTGTTTCATATATTCTATATTAAAATTTTTTGCTCTGTCGTTATCACAATAAATTTAGCCTGCATTCTCTTTTCATTTTGTTTTGGCTCTTAGTCTTTTGATACAGTTTTTGACTTTTTATATGCGAAATGTTTTTCTAAATTTTAAAAAAAAAAATTACATTTCATTTTATATAACTATTTTAATTTAAGGCAATAGTTATTAATATACTTATTATTTTTAGATAGTATGCTACATCGCCTTTTTTTTTTTTTCCCTACCGATTAATATATAGCAATTTACATTAAAAAAAAAAAAAGCATACGATGACTAGTATCACACGTCATATTTACAAGGTTTGGGCGGCCTGATGGCCAATTGGCTAACGCTCTGGCCTTTGATACCACAAGCCTCAGGTTCGAATCCTGGTGGTGCCATGGATGTTTGTGGTGGTTCAGAATCCACTTTAAAACCGTAGGTCCCAGTCAAGTATGACTGTAGAGCATTGGGTGTAGGGCTGACAACCTTATCGCATAAAAAGAAAACATCTGGCAGAAGGCAGATGGCCTTAGCCCACCATGGGGCTATTGCACCAATGAAGATATATATGTAATACAAACGTTATTAATACATTAATAAATGAATTCCCACTCACCATCCATTGTACGCAAACAGCCCTGAATAAAACGATAACGCTATCTTTGTAACATCCGATTCCGACCCCTCGAAATTAAAGTGCTGCGTCTGACCTGAAAAGAAATGAAAAAACCTCATTTAGATCAATTATATTTCATAAACAAATGCAAACATCTAGTTCACACAAATCAGAGTGTGAATAATAAATGTCTATTGAGTGAGTGATACGTATATGAATATATGTTTTACATTTTATTTGGTAAGTGAAAGGCATTAAATTCTGAAGGAAGTTCACCAATGTTATTATAATGATGCATTCTTAGAAATTAATTGAAAATTTTTATCTTTTTTTTTTTAATTTTATTTCTATTTTTAATAATAGTTAATTTGGGTTTTCGTGATGACAACAACAAGGCCCAACAATGTATCGCAATAATAATAATAATGATGATAATAATAATAAGGATTAATAGAATTCTTTTGAATATCTAAATATGACTTATGTACGATTTTATTATGTCATCGATATCTAATGTCAAATTGATTTTACTTACGTTATTTTGGTTAAAGTAATGTCAATTTTTAATGTTAAACAATACAAAGATTTATAAATTTTCATTGTTGAACTACTCATATGTGGTATGACATTCAAAGAAATGCATATTAACTAAGGCCGCATTTAAAACTCTAGATTTAATTTGTCGCTCTATGGTCATTTTTTTGCACGCTTTAGATTAATTAGACAAGGACCTACAGTTTAAAGCGGATTCCGTATCACTAACAAGCATCCATTCCATCGCAAGGATTCGAACCTGAAGCCTGTAGAACCAAAAGCTAGCGAATTGGGCTCCGGCCGCTTAAAAATCTAGAAGTGATACGTCTTGAATGAATAATATTAAAATAAAAAATGAATCCACTTTTAAACCGATCTAATATGATCATAGAGAGTTGAGGGGAGATTGTGTTACTCGCGTCCGTAGCATATCTTCAAGCTACAAGTGCCCCCCCATCAGGGTAGTGCTTAATGAGTAATGCCGGTGTAGCCCTTGCTTATGGCATATAGACTGTCTCTGTATTGCCAGCTGCATTAGAAAAAAAAAAAATGTTAATATAAAATTTGTTAATTCATTACTACTAACAGTAAGATTTTATTTCTCAGATCTTACATCGATTTTTGCTATAAATAACTGTACTTGAAAACCAAATTATGAAATATTTCTCCAAGAATTTTTTTTTCTCTTCCTTTTTAACCCATTTTATCATTACTTGAGATTACTTTTTTTAGTTCCATAGTTTTATCTAGTAAGTTTTTACGGTGTTTATACAGCTAAGGACCGCATTATATAAACTGAGAGAGAAGATCCTAAATTTCATAATGGCTCTAAGTCACGTTCTTCTTTGAAACAGTTTGGCGCGAATAATTTTTTTTTTTTTTTTTTTTACCAACATCCATGCTCTTCAACGTGGAATTTTATCTTGCTTTCTGGGAAATGTCCACTCACCGCTGATAATCGGCGTCAGAGTAGGCCGAAAGGGCCCCGTTATGATGACAAGTGGCCCAGTGTCTTCCTGAGATAAGATGTTCCTCAAAAAACCCTTCATTAAAAGGTTCGAAGAGGACATGTGTATTCTAATGAGTACCGTTATCTTAAGTAATATACAAGTGGATCTTCTTCAACTATAAGCCACCTATTTTAAGAAGAAGACCTTATCAAGATTGTCTGTGACCGTGAAGGACAGATAGTTCAGTCACTGGGGGCAACAACCAACTGTTGGATTCAATTTCAAAAAAAAAAAAAAAAAAAAAAAAATGCTCTCTGACTAATTCTTGGAGCATTTTTCTTTTTATCCGAGATTTTTTATTTAATAAACAAGGTTTATCCCTTTTTATTTTTATTTTTTTCTTTGGCCATTATTTATCACCAAAATAGGAAAACTGTAAAAGTTTCTTGTTTTATGAAAGGAAGGGAGTTGGATTGAGAATAGATGGTAAAAGTAAGATATCACTATGATACATATTTTTTTCTAATGTAGCTGGTAAATATTTAGACCACAGGGGGCCAACCCAAATGATCTCGCGGGCCACTTTGGAAATGCATCATAACTCCGCGGGCTGCATATAAAATTACATATACCCATATTAGATTTAGACCCACTATAGACATTTTTATAATCATATAAAAACTTGTTATATTAAATGTTCCACGATGCGCGCATCACGAGTTCGCAGAATATAATTTAATTATTCTGTGAACTCATAAATAAAACAGGCAATATCTGTCATATATTCGCAAGAATACAGTAGAACCTCTGTAAGTCGAACTTAAGGGAGACGCCAAATAATTCGAGTTATAGAGTTTCCGACTTATGGAGGATTTCGACTTACGCGAATTTTGTAAGAAAATATTCGACTTGAAGAGGTTTAGATTCTTTCTGACTTATTTTGAGAATTATAAGAATTATAACAAGAATATTTCATAGAATTGGTTATTATATTTACTGTATACTTTCTAAGAAACAATGACGT